TGGGGAGCTGCGAAGAAGGGAAAGTGAGACAGTGCTAAGTTTTTTGAGAAGTGAAGCAATGACCAAAGGGTACAGCTCTCAACTTGAGTCCCTAATGGCCAAGGTTGGAAATTTGAATCAGCAAAATAAGTCATGATATTGGGTTTTCTGACACAAGTACATGGTTCAATTAACTGTTTCTATTACTAAATAATTCCAGAGAATACCTCTGCACACAAATTCCTTATGACAAGTAAAGTTTAGCGCCCATCTTTCTGAATGTAGACTGGACTTGGTGCCTCATAATGAGTACCCAAGGGAGGAGATCATCATTTCAGTGGGAAAACCTGACAAACTACGTTGCACAAGCAAGCAGGTTAACACTATCCATGACAAGTCATGTTGCAATCTTGCACTATGCTATCCATGATGCTAAGTGTATCACATCTGTAGTACCACATTCACAATGGTCGGTATATCACATCTGTAGGTAATACACAACAAACTCACAGCCTCATTCTAACCATAAGAAAAGTGTAAATCAGAGCTACAATTTACCTAACCCCCACTCCGTCAAGATCATGGAAAACAAAGCAAAACTAAGAACATACAAGTTAAAAAAAAAACTGGAGAAACAGATCTGCTAAGTCTGTTGAGGTGTTCTGACTGGGTCTTATGGGAAAAACTGATGACATTCAAATAAAATTGATAGCATCTGTAACAGTACTGTTCCATTGTTAATTTCTTAAATTTTTAGAATACAACATGAATATTAGATGCTAAGCATTGAGGGACCTGGGGAAAAGTAAATAAAACTGTATTGTGTTCTTGTACTTACACTTAGCATCAGATTTAAAACTCTTTAAGAGCTCTGAATTAAAATTTTAAAAATAAATAAAATAAAAAATACAGCATATGGTGACAGACGCTGAAGGCAGCAAATGGTTCACCAGTCACTTATTCTACAGTCTGACAACGGACCTCCTTTCTATGCATGTCCAAAGTAACCAAGTTGTGTCTTCCAAGGAAGACCAAAGAAAGGTTAGTATTAGAGAGATTTATAAATGTGATTTGCCTCCTTGGATGCAAATCTCATGAGCCTCTTTAGATTGCTTTGTCTTAACTGTTTTATTAACTTCCCGGCAATTGTGAGATGCCTGTTTGTCATTTGTACTGAATGCCAGGCCATTTTCTCTGAACGTCACTTCAGAGCTAAGCCAGCTAACCACACACCTGCAGAGCCTGGCTCTTCCTCATATTTCTGGAGTAAAATGAAATACTTTACTGCAGGGCCTGGGCCGGCTGTGGCATCCTGAACTGTCATCAAAGGGACTAGATGATGAAGTCTGGATATATAGGATGGTTTTCCTCTGTATACTAAAGCTGTGTATATATGTGTATATGGATGTGTGTGCACACATTAGTTGGTTTGGATTTGGGCATGCCTGTGGCAGTCAAAGGAGGTCTTTGCTGCTCAGGTAGGGTCTCTCTGCTGTTTTTCTACTTTGTATTCCAAGCTTACTGAGCTACCAGCTCCTGGGCATTCTCCTCTCTCTCTCTCTCTCTCTCTGGTCTCCCATTGGACTATAGGAATTATCGATACTAGAACTGTCTTTGGCTTCTTTTATATGAGTTCTCTGGGTCTAAGTACAACATCGCATGCTGGCACAGCGAGAACTTCTATTCATTGACCCTTCTTCCCACCAGGTGTGTGTTAAGTCTTTATGGGAAAGAAACAATGGATCTGGCAGATGAATGCCATCTCTGCCTTTCATCCCTCATTCTCATGGACTACCCCGAGACACAGCCCTTTATTCAGGCTATAAGAGCGCCCATCACGCTGAGCCTGTACACCTGTCTGCCACGAAAGTTCTCAATCTCCTTTCCATGCTTATGAAGCAGCCAATACAGAACCCCGTTTCTCACAGAGCCACCCACCCGCCTCACCTCCGTCCCTCGCTGTATCAGGTTGTCACCTTCAACGTGAAAGATCAATATTTTAATCCTTGCCCCTGGTTCATTTTTGAGAGAACAAGGACTTATAATTGACTAGCTTAGAACTGAAAATGAACCATCTGCATATGTGCAGATAAACTAACAATTTGCAAAACAATTAACTTGACCTCATTATATAAATAAAACACATTTTAATGTGATAAATATTAAGTCTTCAAAAATTTCAACAAAGCCCCATATTGGGAAATGCTATAGGTCAAGGATATAGAGTCAGACACGAGTCCTAGTTGCACAGCAAACACAACAACCCATTGGAGTATGTAACATGAGGGTCCGGCTTGTTGGGGTTTCTGTCCCACCGAATACCCCACAACCGGCAAGCCCCAAAGAAAATTACACACAGGACTCCATAAGATTATAAACTGATTGGTCCATTAGGTCAGGCTTCTTATTAGTCCTTGTAACTTATATTAATTCATTATCATTATCTATGTTAGCCACACGGCTCAGTACCTTTCTCAGTGTGACAGCTCACATGTTGCCTCTTCGGTGATCTGGGTAGGAATGGCGGAGGGAGCTTCCTGCTTCCTAGAATACTTCCAGTCTCTTTTCTCCGCCCCTACTTCCTGTCTGGTTTTCCTGCCTATATTGCCTGCCTAGCCAATCAGTGTTTTATTAAAATATGATTGACAGAATACAGATAATTCTCCCGCACCAGGAGTAATCAAGAACAAATGGCTGGGGATGAGGTATTCTGAGCAAAATACACATCACATTAAATATGTAACAGATAACCAAAGTCTATAAGTGGAATAGACATTAGGAATAGCATAATTGGAAAGTAATGGGCAGATTATACACAGAACTATGCAAGGACTAAAGACAAGTCGAACAAAATGATGAGAGAAGATTGAAGAGCCAAGGAAATAGTCATTTCAGTGGCAACCAGTAGGATTATACAACTTGTAAAGCACAGAAGACAACCCTTCGGAAGCGTTGAGCTAGCCTGCTGAATTCAAATGACTGGCATCCATGAGGTTACTCCTCAGGACACAAATGGTGCGGCCTGAAGTTAAAATAAAAAAAGACGCCAAATGGAGCAGATGATGCAAGAATAAAATAGAGATAGTCCTTAAAGTGAGAATAGAGTAGAATCCTTTTGCCCAAAATAATTTTACAGGAAGTCCACCTTTAGGTGAAAGTCAATCTATTGTATGCATGGCTAGGACATACAGTAATGAGGCATTTGAACATCAAATAAAAGAAGAAGGGAGAAAGAAGGGGAATAACCTTTGGCTTCTACACAGAAGATAGTGATATTTGCTGATTCTTTGACTATTATCCCATGCTGTTTTCATGGAGAGAGCAAGCGCCAGTTAGAAAACGCAGGAACTGTTTATGAAGTAAGTTCATTGCATCCTTTGCCTTTATTGATCCAGGTGGACAATATCGTTAATGAGGTCTAAAAGGAAGAAAAAGAAAAGGAAAGAGAAAAGAAAAAGAAGGAAAGGAAACGAAGGAAAGAAGAAAAAAGGAAGGAAGAAGGGAGGGAGGGAGGGAGGGAGGGAGGGAGGGAGGGAGGGAGGAAGGAAGGAAGGAAGGAAGGAAGGAAGGAAGGAAGGAAGGAAGGTGGAAAGAGAGAAAGGAATAAAATCAGTTGCCACCTTTGAAAATTCTGTGTGACAAGAAAATACAGAGGACTTTACTGTGACTTAAACTGAGGACACAGAACAGAACTTTGAAAAGGATTGAAATTCAAAGGCAAGACAAATGGAGGGCAGCGAAGAGCTTCTCACTTCCCTCAAAAAGAGCGAATGGCTTTCAGGTTGTCAGAACCCAGGACTCCTCACCAGTAACCTAAACAAATCAAAGTAAACTTGGCAAGGGAAGAAGTAGGAAGATATGTCAGATACTTAATGAAGTGTCTGCCTCTGCCAGCCTTCTATCAGTAAAACAGCAGGAGGGAGGCTCAATTCAGACCAGGGAAATAATTACAGGTTTCTAGTTACCCTAGGGTGATATCTGCAGATCTGCTGTCAGATAAATAATTAACCATATTCAAACAGGAAAATAGAGTTGAGAAAACTTCCTCCTTCAATCTCAAGTTACCATCTAGGGTCAAATTACTAGACCATCATATCAATATTAATTTCCCAACTAAAAAAATCAGCAAAACTCGATAAGTGTATAATCTTGTATGAGACAATAATAAGCAACCAGGCAAAAACCAAAGCTCAGCCAGTTAGGTGTCTTATTTCCTCACTTCATTTTACAGAGTAGGCAAATAAGAACCAGAAGTGAGTTTTCATGCCAAGAACTTTTGTTTGAGGTTTGATGCTTAGTTTTTGTACTAGAGCAGAAGTGTAACACCCAGGACCTGTTCAGAGGAAGTCTCTAGGAAATGAAGGGATTCAGTTTCACATTATCAGATTACAGCAACACACATCAAGACTATCTACTGCTATGTTTTATGTTATCTAAGATCTCAAACAATAAAGTGATAATAAGTATTAAATCCTAATTTTAAAATCATTTTTCTACATATTAAAAATAAAATTAATTTAGTGACTTTCCCTTGAGATAACTAAAAGGTACAAAAAAATGATTTTGCAAAACTCACCCGATGGTTCTACTAAAATATCACTGCCACATTCTTCCCTATCTCCTCCAGACATCACAGGGGTGAAGTTTGCCACTTTAGGGTAACTAATAAACTCAGTATTGTAACTCGATAAGTACAAACTGCACCTACGAAATCAAAAGTCCTCAAACACTTTTATAAACAAGCATTATCCAGCCCCGCCTTCTGTGTCTTGTCAGAACATTAAGTCTTTCTTCTATTTAAAATACATCAGCAGCTTCCACCACGCCAACTTTTTATTATTTTTGTGCATGTATTTTAATATATATATATATATATATATATATATATCAATTGATTTAAAAGATCAATCACATTTTTCCCTAACATAAAAGTAATGTGTCAGGTAAAAACGCTACACATTTGATTCAATCACGTCCAATTCTAAGATCTAAATATAAACATTATAGAAAGAAAACCTTACCTTCGTTAGAACTCCATACCATTTAGTCAAATGCTAGGCAATTCATGGGGAGTGAAGAATGGAACGTATGTGTTACTGGGAGCAAAGTAGAAATCCAAGAATTCCTTTCTTGGAGCCCCTCCCTAACCCTGAGTCACTTTGACTCCAAAGTTCATACACCCATGGTGACTTTGCAGGGAGTAAAGGGCACAGCTATGTAAACAACCCGGAGATTTTACTCTGCTGTGTGGGCCAGCAAGAGAGCAGAATGACAGCATCAGAATGACAAAACTTCCTGAGGTAGGCTGCTTGTCATCTTTGTGCCCACTGCAAAACTGACTAGCTTGCTGCAGAGTAGTAAAGAAGCGTGCTCGCCACTTGGCAGTTCTATGTAAAGGAACCTCAGTCCATAGCAAATCATTCACACCTATCATTTTTATTGCTGTCCTGGTTGCTACATAAGTTTAACAAACAGAATCAAAGCAAAACCTTATCTACAAAAAAAAAAAATCTCTCCACGCTATGTGGAGAACTTGGCACTGTTTCCTTTACGCAGTGGTTCTCAAGCTTCCTAATGCTGGAAACCTTTAATACAGTTCCTCATGTTGTGGCGACCCCCAACCATAAACTTATTTCATTGCTACTTTGCAATTGCAATTTTGCTGTTGTTATGAATCATAATCTGATATGCTACCACCAAAGGGATCACAACCCTTACACGTTGAGAACCATTGCTCTACGCTATAGCATCCGTGATGGTTATAATTCCTTTCCCCTCTCTCTTAGTCTCTCTCTCTCTCTCTCTCTCTCTCTCTCTCTCTCTCTCTCTCTCTCATGTCACATGTATGCATCTCCACAGTAGATACGATTATCCATGATCATCAATCACACCTGTTTCCTCAGCAGCTAGCACTGTGTTGTGGTCTTGCCAGGTACTGGTATGTAGTGAATGGTCAATACTTGCTTGTTGAATATACGGGGGAAAGTCACAAAAGCTACAACGTGAGCAACAAAAGGTATGAGGACAAGCGCCAGGAGTCTTCTATCTGCACCAGGCCTTAGATTGGCATGTGATATTCTCTTCACGGGACTTTGTCTTTGTGCATAACTCACTACATTCTTTACCCACCTGGGAGAAGACAGGTGCATTTGGGCACTCGTCCCCTCGTCTTTCCCAGCTCTCCCTTTACAGTGCTGTCCTGCAGTAACCTGTCCTAAGACTTCCACTGCCAAGTGAAAACTGACTGAGAAACATTGAATCCCATTGCTACCCACTGCAACTTTTATCATCCTTTAGTAAGATTTATTATGACACAAGATCAAACTGAGACGTCCTTGAAGGATGCAGATAATCCTAGCTTCCAATTCTGAATCCCCGAGAGCCACGTAGCTCCTGACACATCACGGCAACTCTCGTGTTAGTTTAGGGAAATAACTAAGATCCTAAAGTATTAAAGTGTAGGCCCGGGGGTGGGGGTGGGGGACACAGACTTTCATAGAATCTCAAAATAGAAAGCCTAGACATTCTTTGAAGAAGTTTGAAGTTTTAGAATGAAATGGTGCATGCATCTAGAGATATTTGGTGTGCAGAGACTGTTCACACTGAGGGTAACTATAGAGCTAAGGTTTTAAACACTACCAGTGACTGAAAGATACGTCAAGAGGGATGTCACTGGTACCACACATCCGTGTCGATGTTGAAGACTAGGTAGGTTAGCAGCTTTAGAGTTTGTACTTTTCCCTTGTGAAGTGTTTGCCTCAACCGCCCCAGGAAAAGGTACCTAAAAAGAAGTAGTAAGGACCTTTAGGAAGCTCCATAAGGGAAGTCTGTAGGGCCACAGCTTGCACAAGTTCGCTGTTCCTCACTGAACGTATGTAATCATTTCAAACACCAGTTAGAGTTCTTTTCTACAAAGTGGCTTCTTAATCCCTTCAAGAAGTGCCATATGGGATATGGTTAACTGTGATTATATCTGTAATGCATACCCAACGATATCTTCTTGTACTCCCGAGGAAATTTTATAGTAACATCCAGTGTTCAACCTTCATTAAATATACAAAATAGTGAAGGAATTAAAGCATAACTGTCTTACAACTTAAGGAGGGAACGAGAGCCACTGGTTGATGTCATAGAGATCAAAAAAGGCTGAAATTAATAATGTAACTGGAATCTTTCCATTGTCATGGCACTGCAGAAGAAAATCAACTTGATGTTTAAAGCTGAGAAATGGAGGCATGACTAAAATGTAGATCTTCAGTTGGTTTGAGGTAGACCAGGCATTGGATACTCTTCGTATATTAGTCCCTTAAAGAGTATATATCAATTGATATTAATTCTAGCAAGAAACATTCCTCTATCATTCCAATGAATGAAAAACTTATGTGTTGGAGTTACATGTTTTTCCCCAAAATGCTAAATACAACGCTGTTACCACTTATGTGTGCCCTCTGCTCTGGTCCATTGCTGTTTTAGAACTGTCACATGAAGTCAGGGATTCCTGTGACCTTCTCCATGCTTCCTCTGATCTCTTCCCTGTTTTATGGCTATGCCTACGTAGTACAATATCCTCAGAAACTGTCAAGTTTCTAGTGGGTTTTCTGCCGAAGAGTTTCACGATGCTCTCTTGAGATCACTGTGGTGAACAGACAGGGAAGGGGATCCTCCTGTCTCTTTTAGGGTGAAGAAATCAGACTGAGTGGGCATGGTATTTATAATGAACAACTGTTAGCATTGGGAGTTCTGTTAGATAACTTTATATCCCTGTCACATCCCCTGAATCCAAGTGTTCGCTGTGCACGTTTTTGAGTCAACTATCTTCACACAAATTCTTGGTATCTTATCTCAGCTGTAAAATGGGGCTGTCCTGCATGTTGTCCCATACAGTCTTTGCTTCCTAGTATGACTCTTGGAAAAGATATCATGGATATTCTCTGCTGTTAATGTTAGCCAACTGGGGATCAGGCTGCCCCATGCCTGTGTCTCTAACCAATAATCCTCAAGGGTATGACTCCCCACCAATAACAGGTCCCTATTGCCCATTGGGTAGCCAACTCAGCATTGAACCCTAAAAGTAGGTCCTCCTCCACCCTATCATTCTCCTTTCAGGATCTTGTCCTCTATTCCCCAGGACTTGAAAGATGTATTCTGGTGTACCAATGTAAAAAATAGGATAGAAACATATTCGTTTGATTATCCAGTCCATTCTTCTTATTACCCTAATAACTACCAGACCCAAAAGTCAATACCCATTTCCAGTCTTACACAAAGCTATAAGATTTAATATTTGAATAGAAAGCATTTAATCTCTTTATGTCCTGCATGCTTTGCATATATTAGGTGCCTAACAATAGAAAACTGTGGTTGCCTCAAAGTGAGGGTTGCTTCAGAAGAAGAATTCATATGTAAAAGTAGCGCCCGTCTGCAGACAACTCAAGAGAACTGGAGGAGCTATCTTTACCCAGTGACATTTTAGTCTGTAACGCTTCCTAGCAGGCTCCTTTTCATCCTGAGTTTTCTAATAAGAAGTCAGACTTTAATTCTCATGGCTTCTTATTTTAGATGTGCAGATGGCTTATTTTAAGCAGTCTCACTGAGCAGAGAAAACAGAAAAATATCTTTATAGATCTAAGGTTTATAATAGAAATTGCATCAATATTTACAGTTATAATTACATGTACATGTGTGTATTTGTTGTGATTCACCCCTTAAGGGTTCATTGGTGAGACATGGGCATTCATACCTGTTTGTTTCTTGTACAAAAAGGATATTGAGAAAAATAAATGAAGCCTCTAAGGTGAAGTATCATATTAATAGCAGCATACTGTAGAGCATAGTACCAAGAAAAACAAATTGCTGTTCTTGAGTCAGAAAGGATAAATTTTCATAAGTAATAGCCCCAAAGGGATTCTCTATTCACTATGCTGGCTATCAGATTAGTTGGTCACACTACTTGTGAGATAAGAGCCTCTAGGGGTCACTTTACATATTTGATGAAGAAATATCAAGGCATGAAAACATTGGTGTGCTTCTTCATAACATACTGAGAGATAATATATGAAGTCATAAGTTTGAGGAAAGAAACTGGTCTTCCAGGTCGTAGCTATACTGACTAAAGTGTTGGTCACTCTAAGACACCAGTTTGTGTTTATTCTGTTTCCTAAATGGCATATATCCGGTCTATGTAGAGTAGCCAGTAAGTTCATTTCTTTCAAAGCAATCTTAAAATAGAGACCATCTATCAGTAATTATTCCATGAAATGGGCACTAGAATTGCCCACATAATTAATAACTTGAAACAAAAGAATTTGGCAAGAACATGCAACTGTTGTTTAGAATTGACTGACTGTTGTTTCTTGTAGTTTGATTTCACTTTACCAGAGCATAAAAGTAATAGCAAGTTATCGTACTTGAAAACACACACATACACATATATACACAGCACATAAAACTCATAATTACTTTTAACTCTTTAGGGAAAAAAATCTATTTGGAATTTTGTCTGTGCGTTTGTTTGAGAGTCCTAGGAACTATACCCAGTCTCTTGGGTCTTACCACTGAGCTCCATCTCCAGGTCTCTTTTTACTTTGATGCAAGGCTTCACAAAGTTTCCAAGGCTGGCCTTGATTTACTCAGTAGCCCAGGCAGTTCTTGAACCTGTGATCCTCTTTCTTCACCCTATGATGTAGCTGGAGTTACAGACCTTCACTTCTGGGTCCATCTACACGTTCTTTAAAAAAGAACTCACACCAACTTCTTTTTCTCCCTAGCTGCCAAGGGTATCTACAGTCATCATAAACGATGCAGTAGTTTTGAGGTACACGATTTCATGAACAACCAACTACCTCACAGGAAACCAATGATTGTTGATGGCCTTTACCACAGGAAGGCGATGATTCTGAAGACAGTAATTTTAAGAAAACTAACCAAAATGCATAAGACCATCCCAGAGTTCATCTTTCAATTTGGATTCCGAATTCCTTTTGGTAATGGCAAGACAATAAATAGCCTTTGACATTGTTTAGGATTGGACTGCTTGGATTGCACAAAGAAAAATGAACCAAAAAACTGACTTGCAAGGTTTGGCTTGCGTGAGAAGAAAGCCCATCAAGAGAACAGAGAGAAGAGTGCAGAGGCC